AATATTTGCAAAATGGTATAAGACTTTTCTATTTAGATTGACTCAATCTGTCTTCACATAATATCGATATCAAATCGACTTGTCAATAATTGGTCGAAATTCGTGTCCATTTTTAAGTCGAATCGACTACAAATTTCAACCGTCGATCGACTAGTATAATCGACGTCGAATCGACGTCGATTCGACAAGATATTTCTGACTGGGATTGTTCTTTATGTTGTTCCGAAAACGGGACGCAGTTGGTTTTCTACGTACAAACTGCACAACTTTTTATATAAAAGAATTATTACTACGATCTGACACCATACGCCGTAAATTCAGTCGATAAAACAGATTCTGTTTAGGATCCCCTTAAGCATCGAAGCAGTACACTTCTGTAGTGGTTCGGAACCCATCTAATATTGTAGGTTCTTTTCTCGCACTCCATAATTAAGTGAAAGGCTAATCTTCTGGATCCTATGGCGTATCTTGAGCTGTAGTGTCACTAATGATATGATGATATCAAAATAAATAATGTATTAAAATTATTCATGTAAAAAAAATATAATATGTCGTTATAATTGTAATAATTGTATGCTTCAGGAAACATTTTTCTATTTGCTTGGGGGAAAGTCACTCCAAGATCAAATAAAACATAGCTTGGAAAAAATATTTTCCAATAAATTGGTTATGAATAAATGCTCATGGAAAGGCCAAAAAGGAAACTTCGCCATAAATTCACTACTGATAATAGATGTTATAAAAAGTAAGACTTCAAAGCGATTAAACTTAAGACAAAATTATATAAATTAACTTATTGAACTTCAATTTTAATTTTTCCTCGCGTTTTGTAGATGCTGCTTGAAAGCATTATCCGATATTAACGGATAAACAATTTCAAGATTATGTTTCTGGTTTAAATATGCTAAAACACGTTATAACAGAGAGGTACTTTTATTATTTTATTTAAATGAATTACTATTTTGATATAACATCTTTTCTGTTTCCTTAGGCAAAATCACAAGCATTATAGGAAATGTAGTTCAGTTCAATATTAATGAACTTGTAGCGTTCAGCCGATTCTACATAAATGCACCAATAGTGCAATACTTTATGTTTATTATATAATATATAATATATAATACATATAATATATATAATATATATAATATATGATATAATAATGTTTTATATTGGTTTAATAAATGATTTTTATAAATAATTTATGACTATGTTTTTGAATGTTATTTCCACATATATATAAGTACAAAAATATTATTTAATATAAAGATATACTAAAAACTTAAATTTTCCGGTTTATTTACGGTTAATTTGTAACGTTGCATTTGTAACGTTGCATTTGTAACGTTTTATTAATGAATCTATAATAGATACAACATGCGTAATAATACGATCAGCGAAAAACCCAATGTTTATGTACCCGCAAACTGATGTTTATTTGATAAATATTACAATACATTTGTGTATTTATTAAAAGAAATGTCAATTAATAGGTAAATAAATATTATATTTTTTGCTGATCGTATTATTACGCATGTTGTATCTATTATAGATTCATTAATAAAACGTTACAAATGCAACGTTACAAATTAACCGTAAATAAACCGGAAAATTTAAGTTTTTAGAATGTTATATAAACATTGGTTTTAGAACAAATCTCATAACGTTTTCTGAACATTCCATGCAAGTTTTACAGACGTCGTAAGACGTTGTAAATGCGACGTTGCACATGTAAAGTTTGACAAATATCTAAAGCACGTTGCATATGTAAGATAATTAAATCAGGACATTTCTAGTTTCTGAAACGTTATTAACATCTTTGTGCAACAAAACATAAAATGTCGCACGATTATATTTCAATGTTACAAAAACGTTTCTGCAACATAATATTGTTTAGCGAGTATTCATTGCATAACATCCTGAAATTAATTCAAATTGAGTCAAACCATTAGATTTACACTTTATTTTTTATTTTATAAATATTATTGTTGTGAATAACAATATAGCAAAAATTGTCTCTTTGTATTAAAAATTGACAGTATTAATATTTAATTCAGGATAAATAATTATATTTATTGCTACTAAATATATCATTGCTAATATCCCCAAGTAGAAGATAACATTTTTCAGTATTGATATTTGTTTTAACAATGCCTGTTCATACTTATCTGTTTGTACTTATTGCAATCATGTCTTACACATAATGGTAATTTTAACTTTGATTGTTACGTACTTGGTACAACGCATGCAGAAAGTCCAATTCCGTAAGTCGCTATGTGTTGAGAAACATATGTCGCGAGTTCTGCCACTTCATCAAGTGAAGCTCCTGTTTCGGCAAGAGCACTTGCGATTTTGATAACAAATAACATTCCTACTAAGCCGCGTCTACCAGCAATGCTCTGGTTTTCTGCGGGAATGCTGCAATCGTCGCCGACAATTACTTCTTTCACCTAATTTGTTTAAATTTATATGAGTGTCTTTGTATATACAAAGTATATTTTTAACGTATTCTGATTAAATTTACCATAATTTCCGATAGTTTTGCTTTTTCAATTGCTATACCAAAATTCAAACAATCACCTGTATAATTAGGTATTACGACTAGAATACCAGCTACAAAAAATAGCATTAGTATTATAATAACAAATACTTGGTAACAAGAAATACGTAATAAGAATCACAAGAGAGATATACGCACAATAACCCAGATAGCCAAACGTGAAAACTCAATATAAAGTGAATCATTATATAGAATAAGGTGCTCACGAATTGCTGTTATGTTGTTTTTCATTTAATGCGACAAAAATGTTTTTTGTCACTTCAGTATTAATATACTGAGTTTTCTTGTCGAGTAACTGTGGAACAATTGTTGTAGTCAATGGTTATGGCAATTGAGTCAGCAATATGTGAGCAATGATTTCCATTCATAAGTTGATAAAACTTAAATTTAAGTTTATTGCCGATAAGTTGTTGGGAATTTGATCTTATTACATTTTGACAACTGTTGCTGGCAAGAACGTACTAAAAAAAGAATATCCCCGTTTGTTGTATTGCTGAAAACTTATGAGCAGTATTTGTGGCAAGTTGCCAACAACTTGCACTTAGTTGGCTATCTGGGAAATAAATGAGAATAATAAATAAATAAAAGTGTATAACCTTTGCTTTCACTTGCAATGCATTTAAAAGCATGCATAATACGGCCAGATGGTGGAGCCGTGAAAATAGAGCCTGCTATAGAAGCTGTCAACATTCCGCTCCCAACAAAACCTAAAAATAATTGAACAATCTTATTATACACAAACAATAATAAATAAAACATATATAAAGTTGTACACGCGCCTCCGATTTACACGGCTACACTAAAGTTATTTTTTTTGTATGCCGGTTCAACAACAGATTATCACGACGGCGGGTATACATGACGATTCAAGCTCGGTGATTAAGGGGCTCATCGTGATTTTTTAACAATTTAAGAAGTTTTTGAAAAAATTACTACGTGTAAATAACATTATTATTTACAATATGTAAAAATTTTAGAGGGCTCAGTTACACCAAAGTCGAGATATAAATTTCCAAATCAATCAATCGCTCGTGAAATGATCCAAATTAGTTAAAAGGCCGATACGAGCAGTAAAATACAGGATAATCGTGTATAAATAGAAGTCTTTATTCAAAAAAACACAAACGTTTCATTCCACAAGTTTGGACCTTCTTCAGTGTAATAAAGATTACATCTAATAAGAAAAATAGAGAATTAAGCGCAAAGAATACATTGTGATAGAATTAAAAAATAACAAATTAATAAAACTCACTCAATTAAAAATACATAGTAGCTCACAACATCACTACTAAACAAACCGATTGATGTCAATCGAACTTGACGATAAAATACATATACAGTGTACTGACAAGCAAACATAACAACAGGCAAATATATAAAGATATCCCCACTATTTGTTCAGAAGATCAAAAGTTCACAATAGGTCGAAAAACATGTTTATAAAAGTAACAATCTAAACATTTGATTTATACAATTCCAAAAAAGAGAAATAAGGTTTTAGCTTGTCAGTATCCGACATTACATTTAACGGATTGTCCTGCAACTTAATGTGGAGCATTTCAGACACTGATCTCTTATAAAAAAATTTTTCAGTGTCTAAGATTTTTACATCATTCCAAATGAAGTCATGACCAGTCTCTAAACGATGCTCCGTGATCACAGACACATAATCAGAATTTCTATTAATCTGATTTCTATGTTCACTAATTCTTGTTTTTAACTTGCGCTTTGTTTGTCCAACATAAGATACATTACAATTATTGCAATTAATTTGATACACAACATCTTTATTTTGATCATAAGTTAACTTGTCCTTTCCGATTTTAATGAAATTATTTAATTTATTCAAACTACAAAAAGCCAAAGAAATCTCCTTCGTTTTTTTAAAAAACCTTGAAATAGAACAAGATAATTCAGGAAGATAAGGAACAACAAAATATTTTCTAGCAGCTTCAAGATCATCTGAAGCGAATTTATTGTTATTGTTTGAATTTAATCTGTTATTAATTAAAAACTTAATTCTATTCCTGATTATCTTAAAAATAAATTGTAGAGGATAATCATTCGTAAGAAGCACCTCAATCATAAATTTAAAATTATTTTGTTGAAAACAAGGTTCAGACAGTAGTATAATTCTATCAACCATATTTAAAACNGTGCCAATTTTTTGTGATAGCGGATGGGCAATGTAAAAATTTAAATATCTGCCTGAAAAAGTAAGTTTGTGGAACCAATCAAACATTACTTTGCCATTAAAATTCAAAATCTTAACTTCCAAAAAACTTAAACAATCATTATTTTGAACTTGTATTGTGAATTGTAATCTGTTATTATAACTATTGAACATGTCTAAAAGTAAAGTTAAACTATCAGAAGGCGCTGTTAAGATAATATCATCCACATATCTAAAATAAAAAGAAGTCTTGAATTTTAATTTTTTCAATATAAATTTCTCCAAATCTTGCATAACAATATCAGCAATAATTGGAGATAGAGGAGACCCCATAGGCATTCCGAACGTCTGTTTGTATATCTTATTATCAAAAGAGAAAAACGTTGATGTTAGAACGAAATTAATTGCTTTTAAAAATTCTTTCAAAGGAACCTTTTTTGTGTTTTTTCTAATATATTTCCATCTGACTTTGATCCCTTTAATAGCTAGATCGATAGGTACATTAGTAAACAACGAAATAACATCTAATGATACAAGTAAGTGACCTTGTTGCAGTGTGAAACCCCCTAATTTGTTAACCAGATCAAAACTATTGCTAACATAGCTGTTCGAGACTGGTATACTTTTTTGAATCAATTTATTTAAAAACTCAGCAAAGTGATGCAACGGACTATTAATTGTAGAAACAATTAATCTAAACGGGTTATCTTTCTTGTGAATTTTTGGTATCCCATAAGCTCGAGGTAATAAACCATCACTGGATTTGATAGATTTATAAGAAAGATCAGAAATAAATTCTTTTTGTACCCAATTTCTTAACAGTTTATTAAGACTTTCTTCAATATTTTTAATAGGATTTCTATTAACCAAAGAATACGTCGAAACATCACTAAGCATTTCATTAATTTTATCCAAATTAGAAGTCCGATCAACAGCAACAGTCACATTGCCTTTATCCGCGCGTGTAAACATAATATCAGGGTGATTTTTTATGAAAATCGAAACCTGTTTGTGTCGAAATATTAATTCTCTATTGAAATCACAAAATTTCTGTGATATACATAAAAAATTAGTTAAAATAGGGATAACATGCGATCGCAACGATTCCGTCATATTTTTATTATAAAACCTTAAATTATTTTCAAAATCCTTTATCACATGTAATAAGTTGTCCTTTCTAATAATAGGCATACTAAAATTTTCACCCAGTTGTAAAAGTTGGACAACTTTATCAGGAATATCAAAAGAGGTCAAATTAACAAACCACTTCTTCTTTATGTCAAAAAAAGAATTTGAAGTCAAATTACTAAAGCTACATACGTTAACTTGAATAAAATTATCAACAGAAGACGTTGGTTTGAAATTAAATTTATAAGTATATTTATCACAAATATTTCCGGAATCATCGCTAGCACATGAAGCCACATGTTCAACAGTATAAGATATAGGTTTGATTTTTTTAGAAACAGTGCGGATTTTTTTACTAATTAACCACTCAATTTTTTTGTTAACGTGTAGAACTTGGAAACTCACAAATTTGTCAAGGAAATTATATTGTGTATAAAAGAAATTATTTAAAATACTAGCTGGTAAATATTCATATAATGTTTTGTTCAAACCACAAATAGTTTTTTGTAAAAACCAAAGTTTCCTATGTGTATCATGAATTTCCAACTTTAAAATGTTT